AAGGCGCTTCACTTGATGGTAGGTGATATTATATCCCAGCCTATATCATCTAACACAAGATGCGCTGTCGGCCTATTCTGGATAGGTTTTGGATATTCTGAAATACACAAACGGAAACTGAAACGTAATCAAACTTCACGGCTTTTTATCAGTGGTATGTTATCGTGACCCGGTGGAATTTCGATATCCCTACCACGCAATTAGTATACAGATTTCCAGACGAAGTCCAACATGTCTCAGAAATATAATATAATTCAAAAATTATAAACACGTTGGACCCGGTGAGCAAAGAACCCACGACCCGTTGATTATTAGCCATAAATTGCTACCATTACACCAACGATCCCGTCGAAATTCAAGCCGTTAATTCAATATGTTAGGTTTGTTAAAAATTGAATTGTAATATATAACAATGCATGCTTCCATTCCTTGACCTTGCTTGAGGAAGCATGAATCGAAACACGATATTAAACTTATTTGAAGGCAACCCTGTTATCAGTTACAGGTAGTAAAGGTCGGCAGTTCACTGATAACGCGAACCGGAAAACAGAATACCAAAAGTATAGGATATCTCAACATAATCTATACTAATATATAAAGCTGAGGAGTTTGTTTGTTTGAACGCGTTAATCTCAGGAACTACTGGTTCGATGTGACAAAACCGGGAAAAAACATTAATCTTGTAGGGTTTCCATTGCGAGCACTGTGAAAACGGTTTAAGAAACCAAAAAACAATATGTATGGAAGAATCCTATTCCTCATTGAATGATCTAGAAAAAAGGCTGCGACGCGATATGTCTATCTGTTAAGATTAACTTGCAAGAACGACGGAAAGGGACAATGACTGACTGACGTCGTGTGTAACAGCTTTAGTTTATAAGTTCAAGGGGTTTGCAAATGCGATTTTGGATGTATGAGTATGTATGCTATAATCAACGTCAATAATTATCCTACTATAACATTTTTGTAGACTAGACTTTAGGATGTTAATAGTATTCGTTGTTTGTTAATAACATCCAGTATGTTTTAAAATATCCATTTTTTTAAATATTCTATAAGTCAAAATAATAAGTAATGTAAAAGTAATTTATTTATTTTTTAATATATTTTACATATATGCACTGTCATAACAGATGGAATCCATAACAGATCTTAAAAACTAAGCATATATATATATATATATATTATAGAAGTAAAATACATGAACTTAAACCATACTATCTTTCGTAACTCAAAATAAACATTAATGTATTTGTGAGTTCACCCCAAGGGCTGTAAAAATATCTGTTTTGTGCAGATTTATAATATTAAAAACAACAGTACTCATCTGTAACTTGTAATGTTATAGGGCTACGTGTTTTATCTGAGAATTAAATACAACGCCTTGAATAATATAATAGCATAAGTTCACTGGCGCAAAACCGTCTTAGGAGAAAATGGTTAAATATACAACGTGGATAATATAAGTCTGGAGTATTGTCTGTAGATTATGTATACCAATCGCGTATTTAAATTTGTTATTCGAACTACGGCCCGACGTTTCGGACGCATTGCAGCAGCCGTGGCCAAGTTAATTACTTAATAATAAATCTATACTAATATATAAAGCTGAAGAGTTTGTTTGTTTGAACGCGCTAATCTCAGGAACTACGAGTTCGAATTGAAAAATTGTGTTGGTTAGATCATCTATCGAGGAAGGCTATAGGCTATAAAACATCGCGCTGTGACTAATAGAAGCGAAGATACAGCGTGAAAAGTGAACAAAACGGGGGAAATATTTCATCTCTGTGGGTTTCAGTTTCGTACGCTGCGAAAACTGTTCAAGATAACTATAACATGTGTATGAAAGAATTATTCGTCTTTAAATGACCTAAAAACGCTATATGATTCTTTCTATCTTTTAAGATTAGCTTGCAAGAACGACGACAAGGGACGCGATCGACGGGGTCTGCACTGTGCCCTGCCCGACCGAAGCAATCTAATGCTTCCCTGTGATTCGAAGCCATGATCTCTCGCGCTTTACACACTGCGAGGCAACACGTTTAACCATTTAGCTACAGAGGCGGTCATAGACTAGATTGCTTTATATAATTGTAATTTACATTTTAAAAAATCTGAAGGTTAGGAACTGCACATAAAAACATACCCTATCCAATTGATGTGATGAGGGATGTGTTTGTTTAACTGCTATGTACCTGTTAAACAAACATATGTACTTTAAAATAGAACATTACCCTAAAACTTTGAATAGTAATGGTATACGACACAACCTTGTAGAACGTATGCATGAAAAATTAAATAACGAATCGTTGGCATTTAAAAAAGACACAAAGACAATAGACATCGCTTTTCCGTCAGTGCCTATTATCGCCGGCGGAAGTAACACGAGGACGCACAGTCAAACACTACTAACATAATATTACAAATCATTATTCGTCACAGCCGACTTCCGAATCACACACAACATTTTGTGAGCGTATTTTCCAAGTTATTCTTAGATTTTTTAATGTCCTCAAAGCAATTCGTACGCATGTTTACGATTAGAAGACAGCTGTTTAGAATGTAGCCATTTAATTTTTAATTCTATGAAGTAAAAACTTATAACGGAACTGTTTAATTAAGTTCAAGTGGTGGCCTTTTGAGTACACGCCCTTTCGCATTTAATAAAATTATGACTGCATTCAGCGACCTAGCTTTTATGCAACAACCGCATTAATTTTGTAATTGCTGAAAAGTACATTTACCCCGACCTTTTAATAGAATAATTGCTCTCAATTTAGTTCTAAGGTAGTTGAGGTTGCTGATAGTACACAAAAGGCACTGAAATAAAAAAAAACTGAAAAAACTTAAATATGCATTTCAAAGTAAGTAGGTATTTATTTGAAAGTACTTTCTCTCTATATCTCTACTCAGTAACTCAATCAATGCAGTGAATTGGAGGCACAAGACAATAAAAATTTTTATCCAAAAAACAGTGTTCAAATGATGTAACTCAGACAATCAACTGTTCGCCTGTAAATAAAATCAGTGGAGAACAAGTACTTTTTAAATAAAGCAACCCTATTTCACATAAATACGTACATATAATACTTCTAATTAATTGTAAGAAGAAATTCTACACACTGCACATAATTAATATATAATTCATATCCACAAAGCTAAAAGCATTGGCGCCAGTCGCGTGGCTAGAGTTATTGGTTGGCACGGTAAAATTAATTTACTAATGAGACTTATGTGAATATATTTAGCATTTATTAATCAAAAGGCGTTGAGTGGCATTTTAAAGAAATTAAGTGAATAGAACATTAACATTCCCTTTATTTCTCTGCATTGTAAATTTTTACTACTTTTTACCAGTTTATATTATTAGATTAGATATACACTTCTTTATAAAACAGCAGGACGTTTAGCACTCATGTATACTAGAGGAAAGAATTAAATCTTTATAGTAAAAAACTTTATCCTAAAGTGATAAGTTTCCAAATGACCTCTACAGTTCAGTTTTTTTTAGTTAAATGTGTTACTCACATAAACTAGTGATATTTAAAGATAAGAATCATTTTGATTTAGTTTTGATAATACAGATCGCCTATCACCTTGTTCTCTAACAAGCTGTTGGTCTAAAGTGTCACACATACAACTGAAATATCACAACTAAACTAGGTACTATGTACAGTTATTTTAGGCCACTATGCACAGTAACATAAACAATACCTTATTCTGCGTGGAAGTATCAGGACAGTCTAGATAAACTAGGTATCATTATTTTCTCTATTGCATCTGGGTCAACAGGACAAGATTACAATGTTACAAATGACCACTATCTATCTAGTTTGAGGTATTTCGAATAAGAATTCATGTTATAGAAATGTAAATTCAGAAGTTGTTTCTAAGAAATTCTATGTGCGAATCTAGGAACAGGAATATAAACCTAATTTTTAGGAGTGTTTTATGTCTTTGTGAATGTTTAACAAAAGTCTCATATTATTTATTACAATGTAAATTACCAAAATCGAAAATTCTTTAGTTTCCATATACATAGTGTCTCCCCACACCAGGGCAACCCTATGTCGTGGGTGACTAATCTCTGGCAACGTTAATGCAAAAACTGGATATACTTATTCCACATGTATCATTATACAGAACATATTTTAAAATATTAGTACCATAATAAACCATTAAAAAAAACAGTTCGAGTCTACTTAATGTACCAAAAATGTTAATTTACACTAAGTATATAAACTCAAAATCTATTTGGATTGAAAAGAATTGCCAACATGGATGATAGATTCTTTAATTTTGTGACGTTCATAAGTGTACATAGTTACCTACATGAATAAATAACTTTTGGCTTGCTTTGAATAAGTTCTCTCTCATACATTCCATGGTGTTGCTCAAACCAATTAATTGAGTGATGCTTACATTTTAAAATTTTTGTATGCAATCTTTATTGATACTGTCTTACTTACAATTTAGTCTTGCTAGCCTGTTTAATTTTGTCCATAAGTTGTATTTCATTTCCAAGCAAATGTTGAATAAATAAAGTATCTCTAAATCGATAATGCTACATCTTAGATCTCACACAAGAGCAAAACAAATCAGATCTTATCACTGTCAATATGCATTCACTACTTCCTAAAGTAGTTAGTCGAGTAATGTATTAATTTTTAGAATATTAGGTTCACCTTTCTATTTACATTCACATTGACTGCATTGTAAAGTGTGCATACCAGTTATGCTTTCACTTACATGAATCATGCTTCCTTTTAATATCAACGCAGATTGTACACATCAAATTTGTCACAGCTATGGTAACACCCGATAACGCAATCGGAAGCGTAACATGACGTTGATAAAATGCATCTGTTATGCTGAATTACTATGTGCATTTTGTATAACAATTAAAATGATGAATGAAAAGTTCCGTAACACATAATTATACGAAACCGCACAGGAACCGCTCACTGGCTTGCAACGATTGCATAAAAATATGAAGATACTTACGGCTCGGCTTCTATAGACTGCAAACGGGCGACATAGTTCGAGGGAATGTAACCTTCTTGCTTTGTTTTCTTGCTCCTCGCTAGCCACCAGTCACCTTGCGTATCGTTAAGGATTTCCAAATGTTCACCCTTCCTAAAACTGAGGTCCTCGTCGGTTCTAGCATCGTAGTCATAGAGGGCAACGAATATTCGGGTGGGAGCGACCTCGCTAGTATCAGGACCCTGACTAACAACTGATCTAATAGGATCCGGTGGAGGCGTTGGCACCGGTGTTTGGAATTGCCTCGGGTCCTCCTCATGAGTATTCACTCGTTCATTTTTGTTCTTAGAATCCTTTTCTCCAGTACTGCTAAAACAGTTCCCCATTTTCACTTTACAAGGTGAAGCTGATACCACTTGTTTTATGTCAAATCACACACTTGTATATATCTAAACGTATATTCAAAACTAGTACGTCCATAAACATTTTATTTTGTCACATAACAGTCAAAAAATACAAATGGGAAACATTTTTTCAACATAAACAAAGAATACAAAATCCCGACAAGACATAACTATAGGCAGCCATTTTAAAACGTCATAGACAATAATTCCTTTTTGGAAGTCTTGTTTAAACAAGTCAAGTAATCAGAAATAATAGAGCTTTTTAATCGTTAAAATTAATTTACACTTGTAATAATTATTGATATTGAATAAAATGTATCTTATATATTTATATGAATATCATGGATAATACATTTCATTAAGGCTCATTCGAGTAGTTCTTTATTATAAAGTAGATAGTTACGCCATCTAGGATCAATTAAATGAACTTTTTAACGTGCTCTTTTAGGTTGTTTGCTAGATGTAAGTTTTATTTAAGAGATGGCACCACTAACCGAAAACCAGAAAAATACTGAAAAAACGAACGAGAAATGAAGATTTTTATTTATTTAAACTGATTAACTAATAAAATAAATGTTGAAGTTTAATTTTATTTTAAAATAAACTTCTTATATCTCATTTAAGGTCTATCTAAGGTATCTATCATTTATATTCATATCAATGACGTCAAGAAGGTATATGTTGGAGTGGCAACTAAGGTACCACGTTGGCAAAACTATCGACATATCGCTGGATGCTGGACATACACCGTTAAGGACCTTAATGAACTCCGTGTCCCTACGGCGCAGGATCAACAGAAGTAAAGTTCTCTTATTCTGGCGACCACGAATCACATTGAGTCGCTGCGCTTGCGATGTAAATATTAATAGGTCCTCTTGTATTACAATGGGACTAATTATACTAAAGTATCGCGCGGCGAGTGCGTTAAGCAGTATTCTATGTAAATCTTAACATGAGTGAGGCCTTTGATTAATACGCCATTTTAATATGTAAAAGTTTAATTATAATATTTATGTAGAAAGGGTTGAATGCTCGTAAGTCATCATCTATGCACTGTAGGGCTGCGTTGTGGTTGCACAAAACATGATTTTAAATACATATTTTAACTACAACTAATAAAAATGTATTACATGGACTCAAGTGGACGTAAAACTTTACTTTTTTCGAAGTATTGGTCAGTCTTATATTGGTGGCGTTATTTAAAAGAAATTGTTTAATAGTTTATTACGCGAAAGTATTTAAATGTTGACGGTTTGAACAACAACAGTCTTATTTTTAACTAATACAACCAATAAATTGTAGACTTTTTTCACTTTTGGGTATAGACTCAAGTGTACCATAAAGTAAAAAAAGTTTACTATAGAGTAAAAGAAAATCGTAACTATTTTTTTTATTAAAATAGATATTATTAACACAGGTTATCAATATGTTATCTGTAATGTCAAATGGCGCCAATTTTATTAATTTCACCTTGGTGATTAAATTGCATTCGTATATTTATCTGCTATTAAATTAGTCACCTCAATAATTTGAATGACCGCCCCTAGGCATAAACCTACCGCAATAAAGGAAGCTGTTATATTGCATAGTATAGCTTAATGCCATTGTGATGGAGTTGTGTCGCTTTCGTGGCTAGGTAGCGCTTTGTTTATAAATTCTAAGCGAATCACGCGCATAATACGACGAGCAAAGATACAAACTACCGTCTCAAGTACAGTTAAAATTGTCTAAGTACATAAATCCATATCGATGTTTTCTCGTGAAATAATTTAATTTTATAAGCTTCTCTAATAGAATTCTCGTTGGTCTAATGATAGCGATGAGAATATTCCTAAAAGAAGTTTTTTTTAGAATAGAGGAGGACTGACGAGAATTTTACCTACTCTCATTTGATAGTAGGTAAAATACCCCAGCCATTACATCGACACTAGATGCGCTGTCGGCCTATTGTAGAATTCGACATTCGGAAATTCATAGACTGAAAGCGAAACGCGATTTAGCTTGACAGCTATTCATCTGTGTACGGTGGCTCGTGAGCCGGACGGAATTCCGATATTCCTCTCACCCAGACGAAGTCTTAGTAGAATAATTAGAAACATATTGGAATCGGAATCGAACCAACGTCCCGTAGATACATTGCTACCATTACATCAAGTCCATTTAATCCTTTATTGTACAATTGTAGAATCTTGTCTTATATCGCGGGAAGATATACAAACATTGTGTTTGTTTCCGAGGTCACGGGTTCATGTACCGGCCCCATGATAAAACTGTATGATATAACAGTCCGCTCTTTACGTAAAATAAATATAACGTCAGTGTCTGTAGAGAGATTATATTTCAAATTATCTCTATAATTTGTCTCTGTTGGATATAAAACCAGTTATTCCTAATAATATTATGTGCGCTAGTGTTGTAGTATGATAATTAGGTAACAGGTGTGCTTTTGATAAAAATATTAATTTATATATTGATTTTTCCGGCTTTACTTGCGTACATAAGCCTTTCTTGTTTTGATCTGTTCTGTGTTTAGTTAAACAAAGGGCATTAGTTTAATATTTTGCATTGTTTTACTTATAAAAGGTCCCGAATTAGAATCTCGGGAAATTGGATTCGGTTGGGCAGGGCACAGGGCTTCAACTGCTTGTAAACAAAGGTGAGATGGCTAAACGGAAAGGGAAATGGAAATTTACCTCACAAATATTCATACACAAAAACAAAAGATAACGTATGCTTTTAGATTAGTTATACATATATATACAAGATTCAAGTCAGTTGAATAACGCAACTGATGGCGTGCTTGAAAATCATACATCTTATTTATTTTTTGTTTATTTATTTATTTGGTTTACATACAACGTACATGATTTTATATAGTAATATTAAATATTTAGAAGTAGGTATGTCTACATAATATGTACATATAAATATTAATATAAGTATATAAAAATAATTAAAAAGTGACCGTAGCCTAATGGTTAAAACGTATTGCTTAGCATTGCGTTACGCGGGAGAGGTCCAGGGTTCGAATCCCAGAGGAACAAAAAAAAGTTGTTCCGCTCGGGTAGGGCACAAAAGTCTGATCAACTATCAACTACTTGCCTGTTAAAAATAACGGATCAGTAAAACGGACACAGAAATGTGTTCGCCCCAAGGGGAGACGGAGACGGGATTTCACTTCATAAATATTTAAATAAATATACATATATGTCAATATATTAACGGGCTTCTAAATGGATTGAAAATGCGATCAAAAACCGTGAGTTTTCTTTAAGTCAATAACTTTCCCGTTTCTTACTATTACTGTTTGTACACGAACGAATCTTACTACAAACAATAATTTCCTTCTTGTTTTACGTATATAAATTATTAAATAATTAGCGATAAACACAAAGCATGTCTTGTGAACACGACCGGCTAAAAGTTCAGTCCATACGTGTCAGTCGGTTCGGCTGGCCAACTGTGCGCGCGGTATGAAATGAAAATTCATTTTCACTCACGAGTCCTTCGTTAAACAGAAATAACTACCCCAAGTTTGCTTTGATAAAACAGTGCTCTCTTGTACGGCGGTAAACATCCGTAAGTAATATCTTTTTTATCATCTCAACATTATCGAGTTTTGTAAACAGTGAAAATTTTGGTTTATATTCATGTTGGGTTAGCTAAACATTTGCCTGTACTGGGTTTTGTCTGATATCATACTTTGATAATAATATTTCGCAGGCCTATTTTATGTTTGAACTATTTACGTTCCTATCGAGTTATATAATTTGATAAGGCGGCAACTTCAAATAGGAATTGTTTAAGTGTTAAAATTTTTAACGGTATAAACATCTGGATACATTTAAATAAAACACTTTAACGGTTTAAAACGCGATATATAGTTGTTAAACTTAAATACTGTTTGTAGTTTACGCGAGTAGTACACATTAAAAAAAACCCTTTAACGGTGTAAAACGCGATATATTTTAGTTAAACTTGTTTGAAAATTATTTTTACTACGGCCCGACGTTTCGGATGCTTTGCAGCAGCCGTCGTCACGGGGAGCATCCGAAACGTCGGGCCGTAGTTAAAAATATATTTCCAACAAGTTTAACTAAAATATATCGCGTTTAAACCGTTAGTGTTTTATTTGAAAATTCTGAAACTTATTTGAAAATTATTTTAACTGCGACATGACGTTTCGGATGCTTTGCCGCAGCAGTGGTCACGGGGAGACATTAAAAGATAAATTCATTAATATCTATCATAAACAATATACATTAAATATTATTTTTAAACCTCTGCTTCTAACATCACGTTAAACAGCGGCCGACGAAATATTTTTCTATATATATTTCTCAATTCTGTACTGACCCACCGTTCTTTCGGTTCCTCCCCTACATTACTGTGTATTATAAAAGAAGCAAATTAATTAGGACAGTAAAAATATAACGCCATGATTTCGCAAATTTTGAACACTTTTATTTTACTATAGTGACGTACAATGGCGGATACTGTTTGTAATAATCTTTTAAAATCTTTAATGGACACATAATTCTATTTATAACGTCAAACGACGGAAACTTCAACAGTCCCTCATCAAATTTTAATAGAGCACCGCGTACCGCTGAATTCTTAATTGTTTATTACTCCATTCATATTATTTCATGTTTCAGGAAATAAATGAGTTCAGGTATTTCCTATCCGTTCGCGATCAACTGGCGTAAATAATTCGTATTTTACAGTTGTTGCCTCTTGTCGCCAACTGAAAAACACTAAACCATATTTTGAGAGGAAAATAATGTAATCTTGTTTCCCTGTTGTTCATCTTCGTTTTTAAATAAAACACTTTAACGGTTTAATACGCGATATTTATTACTTAAACTTATTTGGAAATCATCTTAGTTAAACGGCTACTGCAAAGCATCCGAAACGTCGGGTCGTAGTTAAAAGAATTTCCAAAATAGTTTAAATAATATATATCGCATTTTAAACCGTGT